ACAGTATTGTACAGAAATGAGCATGTGCGGCGTGTCAGGACTTATATATGATAATTCCACTAACATCTGTTACAATGGGACGACGTATTCTAGGGACCACCAATGTATCGGGGCACGTAGGAGGTGAAAGCAGAACATTGTAACAGATGTTAGTGGAATTATCATATATAAGTTCTGATAATGTACAATATTGTACATTAATGATCGTTTAAGAAGAGACATGACTAAAAATGTTTATTCACCTAATACAAAAACACAGTCCACAGATGTTCACTCCTCCATGAGCGTTCTCATTAACCGTTCTCAGAATGTGACGATCCACTGTGGGTCAAAATTAATAACTACTTAACGAGTGTCATGTTCATATACATAAAAGTCACGGCTCTAGAACAAGCGTGCTCTTAATCCTCGGGCATCGCAAAGATGACCACGCGAGTATAAAAGACCGCAGGTTCTCAGTCAAAATCAGTTCTCATCTCTGACGACCCCAGCACCTCTACCTCGTCAACATGAAGGTTCTCATCGCTCTCGTTGCCCTCGTGGCCGTGGCCTCCGCCGTCTACCCAAAGGTTGCCACCCACGTCAAGCCTTTCACCACCTACAAGAACAAAGTCGTTTTGAACAAGGTAAGATCCAAATATGTAATTAATGCCTTCGAAATTTCCACTAAGAGGCGAAAGCGACCCAAAAGAACACATATAATACTGCCTATGATCGTCTGCATGTTATCTATGATATCCAATGGGAAAAAACTTCTATAAAATAGAGAAAAAAATTCATACCGAACTAATTAATTTCCATTTAGAATAAAGACAGTTCAATTTTTTCGAACCTTTTTATCATTAAAAAAGAACTACTAATTAATGTAACAACTAATAGATACTCGTTTGGAGTTTTTGAAAGATAGTTTGAATATATGAATTTTATTCTTTTCAGGTCCCAACTGTGAACTACAGAAAGGTCCACGGCTACAGAACCGTCAAGGTCCCAACTGTTAATGTTGTCCCAGTCCATGGCTACAGAACCGTTAAGAACGTCGTCCCAGTCCCAGTGAGAGGATACACCGTCCAGCGTACCGTTGTTGGTGCCGGTTATGGTGCTGGTTATGGTTATGGTGCTGGTTATGGTTATGATGCTGGATACGGTTACAACGCCGGATACGGCTACGGCGCTGGTTATGGTGCCGGATACGGATACAACGCTGGTTACGGCAAATATTAAACTGGATTAAGGTTCGTTGCGTACTTGTTTAATTAATGGCGTTTTTAATTCTAATAGAAAAGTAACGAGCAATAAACAACTAGCAATTCAATGAGTGTTTTTTCCCTTTTTTATAACTCCCAAATTTTCTTAATTCATTAATAATCTATGTCCTCTGTATTTATAAATAGCCAAATTAGATTAGAATATTTATCCGCTTGAATGCGGCTAATATGGATAGTCCTGTTCTGCGAAAATACGTTTTAATAAGGCATTATATAATTGAAAACCAAAAATATGTTTTAAAGGAGTAAACATCACCAATAGATGGCCATTCTGTATCTGTAAAACAATAGTATAATGCTGTTTTCATGTGTTTAATGCATTTTACTTTTTTCTTCCAGAATGGTTCATTTGGTTCAAGATCCATAAAGAAGATATTTAATGGAAAAAAATTCTAAGTGAAAATTCTCTTCCTGTTTTTTTAAAGAAAATAAAGTAATCATTTTTTTTCAACCATGCTGTTTGTTACTCCATTCAATGCAGACAAATCCTTCTTATTACTATATAAACACCGAGCCATGATATGAAAGAGTGACTTAATTGAAGCTTTTTCGATGTCACACAATTACAATATTCGAACGTACTTAAAAATTATTAAGACATGACAAAGTAACGGGAATTCGGTAATTTTTAAGACTACACATTTTATCAATAGGCACACAGGAAAACAAATTGAAAATTATAAAATAAAAATGCGCGTCATGAGAGAACAAATATTAATTACGTAATTTCGGTTTGCACTTTGTGAGTTCTTAAAAATTCAAAACGTCTTCCTGGTATCGAAGGTTCTTAGGTCACATTCAAAATTAGTGCTCCTAGTGCACAATCTTTACATTTTTCTAATCTTGTCTCCGATTTGATTTACCAAGTGGTATTCATTTTCGAATTAATGTTTGTGTTTTTTTAATGTTGAGTGAAATGAAGTTAAAAATATAATATTAATAATGTTAATAACAAGAACCATGAAGGTAATGCAGTTAAATTAAAGAAACTCTTCTCGAATTTAATATAATGCATGCCTTGAAAAACAACAAGGTATGAAGCGCCATCAGATAAATGAGTTTCCGTTTGACAACAGTATGACAGATGGCTGAAAATAATGGAAAAATATTAAAATTATGAGATTGCTTCTGTTTGAAGAACCTAGGTACGCATGCCAAAAATAATATTAGTATTCATAAATGAATAGATGAAAGAGAAAATAATTGAACAGTTTTCTTCTCTGTTTTCACATTTGAGAAATACTCTGCGCTTTTTAAAATGCCCCAAAGTCATATTTCGAAGCTTAAATATCCGGAAAATTTTAGAAACTATGAAAATGAAACGTTGCACCATCTCATCTCATTTAAGTTGCTTTAAACTAACAGTAACAATAAAGACCAACTGGGACAGCAAGTTACAATTAAAGAAAGGCATTGCATAACATGTGAAAACAGTGCAAGGTTTATGCCTGCAAAATTGCTACTACTGCTGCTACTACTACTTCTAACTTAGAAACTAAGAAAATGAGATTATTATTATTATTATTATTATTATTATTATTATTATTATTATACCAATGATCAATTACTATTAAATAGCATATGATAGTAATTCTCTGTCACTATATACAAATATACACAAATTTCCAGCCATAATAAAGATTTGTTAATACGTCATTGTCTTAGCAATCGTCTGCCAATATATCGTAAACATAGTGAATCTAATCTCAAATCTTCACTCTAAGTTTGAGTGTGACTATTATACATAAACGTACCTTCAAATATACTCTCTCTGGCGCTGCACGCACCCTAATTTATTCTTCTGTGTTATTCCACCGTTCCCCTCCTGGATTTTTTTCCTCAAATTCTGTTCTCTTTTTCGTCATGAAATAAGTTTATTAGTCCAACACCAACGGAGGAATTAAAAGGTGGATTCATTTCGTAATCTAACACTTGTTAGTTTGCTTTTTATATAAAAGAAATATGATAAATTTTACGAACGAATCAAATGATTGTTTTCAAATTTATATTTTGAACTTTAGAAAAAAAATCAAATAACTTCAGGCACAAGAATATGTCTTACCACTGCGTTCTGGTATACATGACACTGGTCATCATTAAATCATTAAAAACAGCCATAAATAAACGCATTTAAGACTTGCAGTAATACTAATCCGCTCATACCTACCAAACGTAATGGCTTCACTCCTTTGTGGCCTCCCACATTAACGATTCCCAGAATGTGTAATATTGTACAAATATGAGCGTGTGCGGCGTGTCACGACTCGAAAATGATAATTCCCCCAGCATCTGTCACAATGTTCCGCTTTCACCTCCTTCGTGTCCCGATACAATATTGTACATTAATGTCCCAGTGTACAATATTGTACATTAATGTCCCAGTGTACAATATTGTACATTAATGACGGTGTAAGGCGTGTCATGACTCGAATCATCTAATACAAAACACAATTCACAGACGTTCACTCCTTCATGACCAGTCACAATAACCGATATCAGATCTGCCGTTCGATGTGGGTTAACATTAATAAGTACTTAATGAGTGACATCTATTTAATGATTAATACAAATAGTTTTTTTTTTTTGTACATGTATGCAGTACTTGGTTGTACACAAAAACAAGGGAATCACACAGTTTTTAATTTTTTTTCTCTTTACTCATCTGTCAAACTGATTACAAAGGGAAAATTATGAAGCTTTTCGCATTATACATGCTTGCCATGTTGTTTTTCATAGCATACCTTAGTACCTAGAAGAGTTTATTTAAAGGGATAATAACTCCTCGTATGATATCTTTATTTCACAATAAAAACATTGTGAACAACTCATAGAAATATGATAGTATCTGTTTTACCACAAAAACAGCAGTTATAGCTATTATTCTGATATCTGAGCTTGTCCTCAAATCACGTGACTCCCATTGATGGCTGTACTCTGTGATAATCTCTTAAGAGATTTTAACAAAAAACCAAACTTTTTAGAAAAAAAAAACAGGGACTAACTTTGAATGTAAAAATGGATTCATTAACCATTGGTAAGTATGGGAAAATTGTTGTTTACTCCAGGAAAATTCATTTTTTGGCCAAAACGAGTTATTATCCCTTTAATTATAGTGCATTTCTTTCATTGTTCTTCTTATCAACATCATCAATATTATTTCTGTACTTCATTGAACCTAACATAAGAAAAAATCAAAAGCTAATTCGAAAATAAATATCATTTGTAAATTAATTCGGAGACAAGATCAGATAATTTTAAAGATTTTGCACTAGGAGTAATCCTTTTGATATAACTAATGAATGTGCCCCAAGACTTCGATACAAATAAGATGTTTTGAAGTTTTAAGAACTCACAATTAAAGTGCAAACTGCAATTACGTTACAAATATTTGAGAAATAGTGAGTGTAGTTCTTTTATGAAACACATTTTTACATTATTAATAATTTTAACTAGATTACACAATTTAAAGTTTGTTTTCCTGTGTGCCTATTGATAAAATGTGTAGTCTTAGAAATGTGTAGTATTAAAAATTTTAGCGAATCCCCGTTACTTTTTCATGTCTTAATATATTTTAAGTACGTTTGAATATTGAAATTGTTTGACTTCCAAAAGCTTCAATCAAGTCATCTTTTCATATCATGAAGCCGTGTTTATATGGTAGAAGAATTTGTCTACATTGAATAGAGCAACAAACAACATGGTTGAAAAAAATGATTACTTTATTTTCTTTTTTTTAAAAAAAGGAACAGAATTTTCTCTTGGAATTATTTTCCATTAAATATCTCCTTTATGGATCTTGAACCAAATGATGCATTCTGAAAGAAAAAAGTAAAAGGCACTAAGCACATGAAGACTAAATTATGCTATTGTTTTAAAGATACAAAATCGTCGTTTATTGGTGATATTTACTTCTTTGTAACATAATTTGGTTTTAAATTCCATTGCTGTAATATCCAGTATTCACAAACAATTTTAATAAAAATGCATTTTTTTTACTAATTTCTAATTAAAGTGTGTATGTTTGTCCACGTATGAGTACTACAAAAAGGACCAGGCTACCTATATTAACCGAATTCCAGCGAACAAAAATTCTAATTTCATTCTGCTACATGGACTTAAATATACTGGACATTGATTATGGTTTAAGAACTAGCAAGTTCTTTAAAGACAATAGAACACACGCTGGTTTATTAGTTGTTTTTAGCTCGTAACATTATTTCTATAAACATAAAGAAACGCCCGTATACATTTTATGCGTAATTAAAATTAAACAAGAAGGCAACGTACCTTGGGACAGTTTAATATTTGCCGTAACCGGCGTTGTATCCGTATCCGGCACCATATCCAGCACCATAGCCGTATCCGGCGTTGTAACCGTATCCAGCATCATAACCATAGCCGGCACCATAACCAGCACCATAACCGGCACCATAACCAGCACCTAAACCAGCACCAACAACGGTACGCTGGACGGTGTATCCTCTCACTGGGACTGGGACGACGTTCTTCACGGTTCTGTAGCCGTGGACTGGGACAACATTAACAGTTGGGACCTTGACGGTTCTGAAGCCATGGACCTTTCTGTAGTTAACAGTTGGGACCTGAAAAGGGAAAAAGGTTAGCAAAATGTTGAACTGTCTTTATTCTAAATGGAAATCAACTAGTTCTGTATTAATTTATTCTCTATTTTATAGAAATTTTTGTCGATTGGATATCTTAGATAACATTCAGACCATACGAGGCAGTATATAAATATTACGTGTACTTATAGACCCGTTTTCCCCTCACAGTAGAAACCCCGAGCCTCTTAATTATATTTTGAATCTCACCTGGTTCACAACAACCTTGTTCTTGAAGGTGGTGAAAGGCTTGACATGGGTGGCAACCTTTGGGTAGACGGCGGAAGCCACGGCCACGAGAGCAACGAGAGCGATGAGAACCTTCATGTTGGCGAGGTAGTGATGCTGGAGTCGTCAGAGATGAGAACTGATTTTGACTGAGAAATTGCGGTCTTTTATACTCGTGTGGTCATCTTTGAGATGCCCGACGATTAAGAGCGCGTTTTTTTCCAGAGCCGTGAATTTTATGACTATGAACATGTCACTCTTTAATTACTTATTAATGTTGACCCACAATGAAACAACACATCTGAGAACGCTTATTGTGACTGGTCATGAAGGAGTGAACGCCTGTGAATTGTGTTTTGTATTAGATAATTCGAGTCATGACACACCTTACACGGCCATTAACGTACAATATTGTACACTGGGACGGCACATTCTGAGGACCGTCAATGTATCGGGGCACGAAGGAGGTAAAAGCTGAACATTGTAACAGATGTTGGGGGAATTATCATTTTCGAGTCGTGACACGCCGCACAGGCTCATGTCTATACAATACGTCAGCACATTCTGGGAACCGTTTACGTGACGGGCCACGAAGAGTGAAGGCAGTTACGTGTTTTGCAGGTATTAGCGACTTAGTATCTGCAAGTCTTAAATGCGCGTTTATTTATGGCTATTTTTTAATTTTAATGATGACCAACATGTGCTACATTGTCTGTAATGTATGTTATTTGTAAACTAAATAATCTAAAAATAAGAGAGGAAAAGAAGGATGAAAAAGATCAGAAAGGAACAGGCTAGGAACTTTGTTGTTTGAACCGTTTTGCTAAAACAACCCTTTCTATCAAATTACTTCAGACACAAGCATATGTCGTAGAACTGCATTTTGTTATACATGACATGTCATCATTAAATCACAAAAACTAGCCATAAATAAACGTGCATTTAAGACTTGCAGATACTAAGCCGCTAATACCTGCCAAACACGTTACCGCCTTCACTCTTTCATGGCCCGTCACGTAAACTGTCCCAGAATGTGCCGACCTATTGTACAACATTATGACGTGCCATGAATCGAAAATGAAAATTACGCTATCATCTGTTACAACGTTCCGTTTCACCTCCTTCGTGCGCCTATACATTGACTGTCCACAGAATGAGTAGTCCCAATGTCCAGTATTGTACATTAAAATGACCGTGTAAGGCGTGTCATGACTCTAATACAAAACACAATTCACAGACGTTCACTCCTTCATGACCCGTCACAATAACCGTTCTCAGTTGTGCCGTTTCATTGTGGGTCAATATTAATGAGTACTTAACGAGTGACATGCTCATAGTCATAAAATTCACGGCTCTGGAACAATCGCGCTCTTAATCTTCGGTCATCCCAATGGAGACCACGTAGGTATAAAAGACCGCAGATTCTCAGTCAGAATCAGTTCTCATATCTGACGACTCCAGCACCTCTACCTCGCCAACATGAAGGTTCTCATCGCTCTCGTTGCTCTCGTGGCCGTGGCCTCCGCCGTCTACCCAAAGGTTGCCACCCACGTCAAGCCTTTCACTACCTTCAAGAACAAAGTTGTTGTGAACCAGGTAAGATTCAGAATATTTTTGTGTTCTCAAAATCTGTACTCTACTTTATATCCGAATACGGAGTTAGAGAGCTGGAGTTAATATTGTAAAATACTTCACAGGTCGGCTTCAAGTGATCTAGGATATCAAATCTAAATGAAATTTTACTAGAGATTTAAAGACAAAATTTAATGTATAAGTTTTCCAGAAAGAAAGCTTAAATACATGCATTTTTCCTTTCAGGTCCCAACTGTGAACTACAAAAAGGTCCACGGCTACAGAACCGTCCAGGTCCCAACTGTCAATGTTGTCCCAGTCCACGGCTACAGAACCGTTANCAACCATGTTGTTTGTTACTCCATTCAATGCAGACAAATTCGTCTTATTACTATATAAACACCGAGCCATGATATGAAAGAGTGACTTAATTGAAGCTTTTTCGATGTCACACAATTACAATATTCGAACGTACTTAGAATATATTAAGACATGACAAAGGGATTCACTAAATTATTCTAAAGACTATACATTTTATCAATAGGCACACAGGGAAACAAAATAAAAATTATAAAATAAAAATGCGCGTCATGAGAGAACTAGGTTATTATTATTTCATAAATATTAGTTACGTAATTGCAGTTTGCACTTTGTGAGTTCTTAAAAATTAAAAACGTCTCACTGGTATCGAAGGTTCTTAGGTCACATTCAAAATTATTACTCTTAGTGCACAATCTTTGCATTTTTCTAATCTTGTCTCCGATTTAATTTACCAAGTGGTATTCATTTTCGAATTAACATTTGTGTTTTTTTTAATGTTGAGTGTAATGAAGCTCAAAAATAAAATATTAATACAATAAAATATTAATAATATTAATAATGAGAACCATGAAGGTAATGCAGTAAAATTAAAGAAACTCTTCTCGAATGTAATGTATGCCTTAAAAAACAAGATGTGTAAAGCGCGAAAAGATTAACGAGTTTTTATTTGAAAACAGTATGACAGATGAGTGAAAATAAAAGAAAAAAATTCTTGAGATTCCTTTTGTTTCATGAACAAACTAGGTACGCACAAAAAAACTATTAGTATTCATATATGAATAGATGAGAAAGAAAATAATTGAATAGTTTTCTTCTCTGTTTTCACATTTGAGAAATATTCTGCGCTTTTTAAAGGGTCCCAAATTCATATTTCGATGCTTAAATATCCTGAAAACTTTTAGAAACTAAGATTATGAAATGTTGCACCATCTCATCTCGTTTAAGTTGCCTTAAAGTTACAATGAAGAACGACAGGGACAGCAAGTTACAACTACTTTAGGTGAACTTATAATAAACCCGTAGAAGGTGCGTCAGAAGGTTGTCTTTATTTAGAGGGCGTTCACAATAGATGAGCTTCGGATCTATTAATCTGCGGATCAAATATGGCGGACCCTACATGAAAACGGAGCAGATTAGTCTGCTGCTGATAGTCTCCCCGCCTCCGCACGCGCCATTAAACCGATTAAATCCGAGGTTTAATCCGAGGTTTAATCCCTAGACCCCTGCAGGGACGGCGTGCGAGGAGGCGGGGAGACCATTAGCGGATTATTCCATGTAGGGTCCGCCATATTTCATCCGCGGATCGATAGATTCGAGGATCATCTTCTGTGAATACCCTACTTATTGATTCATTTATCTCCTTTAGCAGCTTATAAATATTTAAATATATATGGTGCAACATTTTTTGCAATCTATGTTATTTGTAAATTAAATAATCTAAAAATGAGAGAGGAAAAGAAGGGTAGAGCTAAGAAAAGAACAGGCTAGGAACTGTGTTGTTTGAACCGTTTTACTAAAACAACCCTTTCCATCAAATTACTTCAGGGACAAGTATATGTCGTACCACTGCGTATTGTAATACATGGTATGTTGGTCATCATTAAATCACAAAAACCAGCCATAAATAAACGTGCATTTAAGACTTGCAGATACTAAGCCGCTAATACCTGCCAAACACGTTACCCCCTTCACTCTTTCATGGCCTGCCACATTAACAATTCTCAGAATGTGTAATATTGTACAGACATGAGCGTGTACGGCGTGTCACGACTCGAATATGATAATTCCCCCAACATCTGTTACAATGTTCCGCTTTTACCTCCTATGTGTCCAGATACATTGACGGTCCTCAGAATGTGCCGTCCCAGTGTACAATATTGTATTTTAATGACCGTTTAAGGCGTATCATTACTCGAATCATCTAATACAAAACACAATTCACAGACGTTCACTCTTACATGACCAGACACAATAATCGTTCTCAGATCTGCCGTTTCATTGTGGGTCAACATTGATAAGTACCTAATGATTGACATCTATTTATTTATTTATACAAATGATTTTTTTGTATGCAATCCTTGGTTGTTCATAAAAAAGGGGGAGGGGGAATCACACAGTTTTAAATATTTTTTCTCTTCACTCATCTGTAAAACTGATTACAAAGGGAAAATTATGAAGCTTTTCGCGTTATACGTGCTTACCCTGTTGTTTTTCAAAGCATACCTTAAATCCTAGAAGAGTTTATTTAATTATACTGCATTACTTTCATTATTCTTCTTATCAACATTATCAATATTGTTCCTGCGCTTCATTAAACCTAACATTAGAAAAAATCAAAGGCTAATTCGAAAATAAACATCATTTGGTAAATTGATTCGGAGACAATATCAAAAAATTATAAAGATTTTGCACTAGGAGTAATCCTTTTGAGATAACAATTGAAGACTCTTCGATACTAGTAAGATGTTTTGAATTTTTAAGAACTCGCAATTAAAGTGCAAACTGCAATTACGTTACTAATATTTGAGAAATAGTGCGTGAAGTTCTTTCATGACACACATTTTTACTTTATTACATAATTTTAAGTTTGTTTTCCTGTGTGCCTATTGATAAAATGTTTAGTCTTAAAAATTATAGCGAATCCCCGTTACTTTGTCATGTCTTTTTAAATATTTAAGTACGTTTGAATATTGAAATTGTTTGACTTCCAAAAGCTTCAATCAAGTCATCTTTTCATATCATGAAGCTGTGTTTATATAGTAACAAGAAGAATTTCTCTACATTGAATAGAGCAACAAACAACATGGTTGAAAAAAATGATTACTTTATTTTCTTTTTTAAAAAAAGGAACAGAATTCTCTTGGAATTATTTTCCATTAAATATCTCCTTTATGGATCTTGAACCAAATGATGCATTCTGAAAGAAAAAAGTAAAAGGCATTAAGCACATGAACACTAAATTATTCTATTGTTTTAAAGATACAAAATCGTCGTTTATTGGTGATATTTACTTCTTTGTAACATAATTTGGTTTTAAATTCCATTGCTGTAATATCCAGTATTCACAAAAAAAAAAAATAATTAATTAAAATGCAATTTTTTACAAATTTCTTATTAAAGTGTGTATGTTTGTCCATGTATGAGAACTACAAAAAAGACCAGGCTACCTATATAAACCGAATTCCAGCTAACAAAAATTCTAATTTCATTCTGCTACATGGACTCAAATATACAAGACATTGATTATGGTTTAAGAACTAGCAAGTCCTATAAAGACAATTGAACACACGCTGGTTTATTAGTTGTTATTAGCTCGTAACATTATTTCTATAAACATAAAGAAACGCCCGTATACATTTTATGCGTAATTAAAATTAAATAAGAAGGCAACGTACCTTGGGACAGTTTAATATTTGCCGTAACCAGCGTTGTATCCGTATCCGGCACCATATCCAGCACCGTAGCCGTATCCTGCGTTGTAACCGTATCCAGCATCATAACCATAGCCGGCACCATAACCAGCACCATAACCGGCACCATAACCAGCACCTAAACCAGCACCAACAACGGTACGCTGGACGGTGTATCCTCTCACTGGGACTGAGACGACGTTCTTAACGCTTCTGTAGCCGTGGACTGGGACAACATTAACAGTTGGGACCTTGACGGTTCTGAAGCCGTGGACCTTTCTGTAGTTAACAGTTGGGACCTGAAAAGGGAAAAAGGTTAGCAAAATGTTGAACTGTCTATATTTTAAATGGAAATCAACTAGTTCTGTATTAATTTGTTCTCTGTTTTATAGAAATTTTTGTCGATTGGATATCTTAGATAACATTTAGACCATACGAGGCAGTATAAATATTACGTGTACTTATAGACCCGTTTTCCCCTCACAGTAGAAACCCCGAGCCTCTTAATTATATTTTGAATCTCACCTGGTTCACAACAACCTTGTTCTTGAAGGTGGTGAAAGGCTTGACGTGGGTAGCAACCTTTGGGTAGACGGCGGAGGCCACGGCCACGAGAGCAACGAGAGCGATGAGAAACTTCATGTTGGCGAGGTAGTGATGCTGGAGTCAGAGATGAGAACTGATTTTGACTGAGAAATTGCGGTCTTTTATACTCGTGAGATGCCCGAGGATTAAGAGCGCGTTTTTTTCCAGAGCCGTGAATTTTATGACTATGAACATGTCACTCTTTAATTACTTATTAATGTTGACCCACAATGAAACAACACATCTGAGAACGCTTATTGTGACTGGTCATGAAGGAGTGAACGCCTGTGAATTGTGTTTTGTATTAGATAATTCGAGTCATGACACACCTTACACGGCCATTAACGTACAATATTGTACACTGGGACGGCACATTCTGAGGACCGTCAATGTATCGGGGCACGAAGGAGGTAAAAGCTGAACATTGTAACAGATGTTGGGGGAATTATCATTTTCGAGTCGTGACACGCCGCACAGGCTCATGTCTATACAATACTGTACAATACGTCAGCACATTCTGGGAACCGTTTACTTGACGGGTCATGAAAGAGTGAAGGCAGTTACGTGTTTTGCAGGTATTAGCGACTTAGTATCTGCAAGTCTTAAATGCGCGTTTATTTATGGCTATATTTTAGATTTAATGATGATCAACATGTGCTACATTGTCTGTAATGTATGTTATTTGTAAACTAAATAATCTAAAAATAAGAGAGGAAAAGAAGGATGGAAAAGATCAGAAAGGAACAGGCTAGGAACTTTGTTGTTTGAACCGTTTTGCTAAAACAACCCTTTCTATCAAATTACTTCAGACACAAGCATATGTCGTAGAACTGCATTTTGTTATACATGACATGTCATCATTAAATCACAAAAACTAGCCATAAATAAACGTGCATTTAAGAATTGCAGATACTAGGCCGCTAATACCTGCCAAACACGTTACCGCCTTCACTCTTTCACGGCCCGTCACGTAAACTGTCCCAGAATGTGCCGACCTATTGTACAACATTATGACGTGCCATGACTCGAAAATGAAAATTACGCTATCATCTGTTACAACGTTCCGTTTCACCTCCTTCGTGCGCCGATACATTGACTGTCCACAGAATGAGTAGTCCCAATGTCCAGTATTGTACATTAAAATGACCGTGTAAGGCGTGTCATGACTCTAATACAAAACACAATTCACAGACGTTCACTCCTTCATGACCCGTCACAATAACCGTTCTCAGTTGTGCCGTTTCATTGTGGGTCAATATTAATGAGTACTTAACGAGTGACATGTTCATAGTCATAAAATTCACGGCTCTGGAACAAACGCGCTCTTAATCTTCGGTCATCCCAATGGAGACCACGTAGGTATAAAAGACCGCAGATTCTCAGTCAGAATCAGTTCTCATCTCTGACGACTCCAGCACCTCTACCTCGCCAACATGAAGGTTCTCATCGCTCTCGTTGCTCTCGTGGCCGTGGCCTCCGCCGTCTACCCAAAGGTTGCCACCCACGTCAAGCCTTTCACTACCTTCAAGAACAAAGTTGTTGTGAACCAGGTAAGATTCAGAATATTTTTGTGTTCTCAAAATCTGTACTCTACTTTATATCCGAATACGGAGTTAGAGAGCTGGAGTTAATATTGTAAAATACTTCACAGGTCGGCTTCAAGTGATCTAGGATATCAAATCTAAATGAAATTTTACTAGAGATTTAAAGACAAAATTTAATGTATAAGGTTTCCAGAAAGAAAGCTTAAATACATGCATTTTTCCTTTCAGGTCCCAACTGTGAACTACAAAAAGGTCCACGGCTACAGAACCGTCAAGGTCCCAACTGTCAATGTTGTCCCAGTCCACGGCTACAGAACCGTTAAGAACGTCGTCCCAGTCCCAGTGAGAGGATACACCGTCCAGCGTACCGTTGTTGGTGCTGGTTTAGGCGCTGGTTTAGGCGCTGGTTATGGTTACGATGCCGGCTTCGGCTATGGTGCTGGATACGGTTACAACGCCGGATACGGCTACGGTGCTGGATATGGTGCCGGATACGGATACAACGCTGGTTACGGCAAATATTAAACTGGACTAAGGTACGTTGCTCACTTGTCTAATTCGTGAATATGAGCGTTGTTCATTTTCAGTAATAGAAAGTGAATGTTACCAGTTTATGGGGTTTCTTTTTCATTATACTCTATAGCACTCTCAAACTTATACCATAAATACTGTCCTCTGTACTTCGGACGTGAAATAAAAATGATAATTCCTCCTCAAATTCAGCTTTCATGTGTAATGGAATCCTTTACATATTTACTATATAAATTAAAATTATAAGAAAACGGCATGTTTTCGTCATAAATAAATTAGTATCTTTTGATCATAACACGTTTAGATGCTATTTTAAAGAGAGATAATATATGAAGTTGATATTGGATATTTAATTTATGAAATGGAATCGAAAGTGCCACCTATATTTGTTTCAGAGGACTTATTATACCAGTAATTTGCTTTATCTAAAATAAGATGTAACATTCAGTGCTACAGTGTTTTATACCTTTATTTTATTTTATTCTTTTTTATTATCATTTCAGTATGCCACTCGTTTTAGGATCCGCAATGAAGATTATTCTGTCCAGACTAATTCCCAGTGCAAATTTTATTCTGGCCTTTTTTTTAAGAAATAAACGTTTTTTTTCGAACATGAGATTTGTTTCTTGTGAACATTATCGACAACAGCCCAGTTTTAATAAAATATTGTTTGCCTGAAATTTTTTGTAAGTCAAACATCTTCAATATTCAAATGTATAGGAAAATATGTCGTGGGAATGATGTTATTAAAGTAATAATAATAATAATAGTTGTGATATTTGTACAATTTAGGCTCAGATTATGGGTATAAGTATCCACATTCATTTTGAGCTTCTCAAAAACTGAAAATCAAATAGGACTTGCGTCAGAGAATTTAGCGTTTGAAGACAAATCATTTAAGCTATTTTTTTGTCTACGTTTGTCTTTTTCTTAAAAATTTTACTTGAATTAACTTAATTTGCCCTAAAACGTAATACTTCCTCAAAATGCCTTTATTATTTTTTGTTTTCTGAATTCGGGTCTTTCGTGAACTGCATTAAATACAGTTTCGCCCAGGTATTCCACAATTCAAATCTCATCCCGAATTGCTTTTATAAGACAAGTGAAACTCAAGGTTAAATTAAGTTATATATATTTCTGATTTTATTTTAATGTTGGAGAAATGAAAGAGAAAATAAAAAAATACTAACACAATAAAATATCCTCTTGAATCCACAGTATGCGCTGTTCACCGAAACACTAATTATCTGATAAAAATGCGATAAGTTCAAATTAAAGATACGCTCCACAATTAATAATTACCCTGTATCATTACTTCACAACTATCAACATTCACTGCACAAAAAAAAAAAAAAAAAAAACATTTCTAGCAAAACCCTACCATAACAAGGAAGCTATTTTTATAATTAAATACAAAAAAAAAAAAAAATAAAATAAAAAATAAAATAAAATAAAATAAATGAAGGGAAAAAATATAGTTCAAAAATGGTTTCTAAACTTCTTAAATTCAAAAATAAATTAATATAAGAGATTTCATGAATACATGTATTAACTGGGACTGTAGCATATAGTTAGGGACATTTGAAATAGTGCAAGTTTTGTGCCTGTAAAATTAAAAACCAATTACTAAATTAACAAGATATGATTGTACTTCTTCAAAACTATTTACACTTGCAAAATATTTTTTCAAATCTGCAAAAAAGGCACTGCTAGGGCTGTTTAATTCAACACAATATATAATTATATATTACATCTAATAGCTATTTCCACTTTTTTACATCTAATATAAATATATATAACACATGTAGAGTAATCAAAACTTTAGGCAAAATATCATGCTCATTAAAGATAAATTGTTTCTAAAAACAGCTAAGCACTATTAACAATGGATGAACATTATGTTTGGTACACATAAACATAATTATATAAAGTGAAATTAATTAACAGAATGTTTGGTTCAAATTCAAGACATACATACAAAATAAGCAATGCTTTTTATAAAATCAACTTTACAAGCATCTACAACTTAAACTAAAACAAAGAAGTTTATGAGCATCTTTTTAAAACCAATTCCATGAAGTGTTTCTAACCATACAAAACATTTATATATACATGTGGCAAAAGCTACGGTACCTCACATTTAAGGCTCACTAAAGCACTGATAGTTATAAGTAATTATAAACATTGGCTCTTTGATGCATCTATGAGGGTCAAGTAAACAATAGTTTGATGTCATTGCTAACAAAATAATGACGCTAGTATGATGTCACATATATCACATCTGTGATGTCAAACCTACCGATGTGTGATGTCATTGCTAACAAAAACATGATGCCAGTGTGACATCACATCTACCAAAGTGTGATGTCACAGCTTACAAAACATGATGCCAGTGTGATGTCACCTCTACTACAAGTGTGATGTCACAGCTTACAAAAACATGAAGCCAGTATGACATCACATCTACCACAAGTGTGATATCACTGGCCAGCAGTTGTTCAAACAGAATAACTGTTCAATAGAGATATATACTTAAAGCTGTACTTTTCACTGCATATATTCTTCAAATAGATATGTTACGCAAATCTCAAGTGGAATGATACCCCTGCATGTAATTAAGCCATTTTATGTACAATTGGCAACAATCTCATTTTTTATTTACATAATAGTTGTTTTATCAACTCACTGATAAGGTGGGGATAGGCAGTGGATGGAATAACCACATAGAGATAATTATCAGACATCATGAAAAATTTTTAAAAAATAATTAACTACTAGTTTATCCTTCTTTTTAAACCATTTTTTCAGACATAAAACCATCAGTAGTTGTGGGAAGACAATTTTGGGAATGTTTTCTTCAGCTTCTTAGTAGTCTAAGCTAGAGACTTGTGAAAGCAGAGGGTGTCCTCTACTGACAAGCCTAGTACATACTGTGGCAATTTCAGCGATGCATGCCATCTTTTTCCTTCCAAATATTGTAATCACCATCTCCCATGTCATATTCTTTAATAATATCAAACTGGGATATTTTGCTTAATAAAGTTTTTCATATCAGCTCTTGTGATTGGTTTTATCTATTCAAGCAAAAATGTATCTTCAGTGAGCCTTCGAGTATATGGGGCACATACTTGTATATGACATAATAAATCAGTCTCCTCCTGATATTGTTCATTCCAATTTCAAGGTGTACATCATTTCTTCCCTTTTTTGTCTTTCTTATCTTTGTCTTTCTTTTTTTTCTGGTGCTGTTCATCATACATTGCCTTGGAAACAACCATGAGGCGATAACGCATCTTGAGGTTCTTGGCACGTAGATGTTCGCTGACAATTTCCATAGTGTATGAGGATGGGAACCAGCCATGCTCCCCATCGCGTATTCGTTCACCTTCATACCAGCCTAGTAAATGGAAAAAAACATGAATTTGAAATATCTTAGTTGGTCACACCTGCCAAAGATATGGCAATTCCATGTCCAAACTAACTCAGAATTCTGAATTTCTGGATTAAAATTTCATTCATGAACAAAACAATGTAGTTAGGGGTGCTACCATTTACTTCTGCACAAATCTAATTTGGAGAATTAACTCAGGTAAATAACTATGTTCTTTCCATCTGACATTTTCTTGTAACTTGACCCATAACTAGTAAAACCCCTGCTGTTGGAGATACTTTCAATCAATGTTCATTCAAATTTAACAAAAACTTACCACAACACAAATTACATTATTATTTGAATGTTTTACATTTTCTCATGGACATTTAAAGTCCAAACACTGAAGTTGGAGATGCCACTAATCAAATTTGTTCAAATTTAGAGAGAATTTACCCCAATGAAAGATAATATTCTTACCGTCTGCCATCTTTTTGTGGACATTGATGACATCGCATTCTTCCAAGGTCAATTCATCATGCTGCTGGGCTGTGTAGGGATGGATAGCCTGAACTTGGGGACAGTCTGATGAGAAAAGAATTTACTTTTTCACCATTTTTTATTTATTTATTTATTTGTTTGTTGAGTGTGAAGTCTGCTGTAACAGGAAAATATTAACGTCACCAGAAAAGCATTCCAAGAGCGCAAACCTCCGCCAAGGCACCGATTTTTGATTATTATTGATTATTGATTGATTATTGATCTGGATCACCACCAAAAACTAATCACTTCTAAGTTAACCCATTTCTGACCTACCCTGAAAATTTCATCAAAATCGGTCCATAAGTCTTTGAGTTATGTTGATGACAAACAAACAGGCAGACAGGGGTGAAAACATAACCTCCTTGGCGGAGGTAATTATCTCTATTCACATGACAATTCATGATATTGCCATGCAGTGTGAATATAAATTATCCCATTAATTATTACCACTAATTTATAATCCCAAAAAATGTTTTCAGCCAATTACAATGTAAGGGGAAAATATTGTACACTGTTTTGGTTTTGGAAACAAAAAAAATCATGTTTTATCAAAATTATCTTAACCGTAATTTTGGGAGTACTCACCCCAGGCCTCGTAGATTTTCTCATCATCACACTCGTCATGTGATGATGACAAGGCGTCCATCCAGCGCTGCTTCTCACTCCTACAACAGAAATATTTTTTCTAGCATTCCCCTAAAATGGTCCTCAGTATTTAACTGTAATGATTTGAAAACGTCATAAAACGACCGTTATTCAAAGACTTAAATCGTAAATTCAGTGACTTATCACAAATAAAATCAGCATCAGCATGCCCTTCTGAATTCATATGTAGCTGCTAGGTTCAAGCGACTCAAAGTAAGCAACTTTATGACACTTTATGACATAAAGAGTTTACATCAAAATGCCCTTACACAGACTCGCAAGAAATGACCATCTCCACATTCTTGCCTTCGTGATTAGAGAGCAGCACCAGGATGAACAAGTGGTCGCAGCCTACGGGAATTCCGTAGGGAAGACGGTGATCCTTTTGCATGGCGTCTAACTGCACGTCCTCCAGGTGGATTTGACTCCTCTGAGCATGATCTATAACTGAATACTCATCTCTGGAATACAGAGACAAAATGAAGATGAATATAAACACTTGAAGACCATATGATAGCATATTTAGGTCTATTTTATCCTCTCAGTCATATTGGTCATATTATTACTAAATATCAAGATTATGATCACTACAATTATCAATAATATTATTACTATTATTATTAATGTCAGCAGTACTTACAGAAGTTGTATGACATTAACAAATAAAACAAATTCATATCATACTGGCCCTGCTTCAAATTTACGGGTACTTGGAGTAGGGCCATTGCTAACAGCACAGACAAGTACCACTGTGGACTTAACTGGAGATGTGCAATCAGACCCCTGCCCTTTTAACCCCCTCCCCCTATCCTACTACTGAAGGAACTATCATGATTGTAACTATCAGTACACAGATTGCTGGTAAAACTCTTGGCAACATTATCACAGTCCCATTGCCAGGAGGGTTTGGGGGGCTTCAAAAGGACTTTTTGTCAGGAAAAGGTTCATTCTGGGTAAAATTTGAGCTATAGGTTTCATTGTAAAGGTCCACTTTTTCATTAAGGAACCCCTGTTTTTGAAATTACTGGCTACGAGCCTGTTATCAGTACAACCTACCCTTTTTTCTTGGTGACCAGGAGAAGGTCATTAAACAGGAAGAAGTACAGGGTCTGTTTTGTAGGCTTAGGTTTGCCCAGGGAGAAGCGACTTGGCTGCTCCCAGACTATACGTGCCAGGTCGCCTTGTTTTACCAGGTAACGAGAGGTGGAGATTAGGGCCAGCTTCTGGAAATGTAACAATTGATAATGTACAAAAAATAAATAAATAAATAAATAAATAAATAAATAAATAAATAAATTTTCAGAAAAATAAAAAGTTCAATACATCTTTAAACTTGAAATTATTTACAGTTTCAACAAGCATCTATTGACATAACTCGTAAAATACACACAAAAATGCACACACACACACACATACTCTTACAAGCACACACATGACAACGTTCCAAGAGCTTACTAGGCAAACAGAACCGAGAGTTTACAATGCAGGCAGAAAGGTAAATCATTTAATACTGCACCTTTTTCACTTTGGCATACTGCAGCTGGTTGCTGATGTTGCACATTTCTTCTGTTCTCTCCATTTTTCTTGCTCCCTCATTGCAATCCTTAACCAGCTGTAATATAGATTATCAAAGGTGAAGGTAAATATTATAATTTACAGCCCACTTAACTCAACACTGGATAACACCATCTTCTGGATAACACTACCCATTACAAAAAAAAAATGTTATCCTCTGGGCAATTATCCTGTGGGTAAAGTGATGTTAACTAAACACTAGATACTTATTTTTGTCTTTGATATTGCTTACCAGTGGTTAAAAAAGGCTGCTATCCTGCTTGACGAGATAACTTCTGACTCACACACATAATTTAAATAATCAACTTTAAAACATCATAACAAGTAGATTGAATTTGGTTTTGGTCACCTTCTGGAGCACCCCATGTGCATGTAGGGCGGCTTGGTGCTCCTTTGTCCCACTCTCCATGCGGTGGTGTATGGCGTCTATCAACAGAGGAAGTCTGGTGATTCTCTGCATAGGAAGGAGTAGGAAGGAGTTCATATTCAAACCCTGACACTCACGGTCCGATTCCAACCTCCGCAACTCTTCCACGAATTCTAGGTTCTCTTTTCTGAAAGAAAAATGTAAAAATAATTTTTAAAAAATTTAAATAAGTAATTTTCTACCAAACATGGAACATTATGTGTTAAATATGACAGAATAAAGCTGGTTGATTGGTGAAACACACTAAAGGTCACAAATACTCTCTCTCTCACACACACACAGAGAGAGAGAGAGAGAGAGAGAGAGAGAGAGAGAGAGGTTTGTATACTCACTGTAATTTCTTCAGTGTCCTGTCCTGGTACATCTGGTTACTGCAGTAAGTGACGTAGACTTGGAAGTTTTTCTCTGCGTGATGAGTGATGACATCACACAGATCTGTTAGATGGATGCTCTTCTTCCAGGTGTCTTCCAGATCCTCCATAAACCTGAAATTAAAACAAGAATGCCACTAAATTATTAACATCAAACTTAATTTTAAATACAAACAACGTATATTTTACACATGAATATAAAAATAATGATTTTTACTGGAGTTTTAGTATTATTTTTTCATTTTAAGATAAAGGTCAACCCTACTCAAAACTATTGAGAAAAATATGATATGTAAACCCATTTTCAAGGTTTTCATTTTTAAATTTTGCAGTCAAGAATAAATCGTCAATATTTAGAGAGTGATTCAAAACTGCCTCCTTCCGACTGAAACACAGACTGCAATCATGCCACAGATCAAAAGTATCAAAATCAAGCACATGTCTTTATTTTTATCTATTATATACATAGGTTTATTTATACCAAATCAATCAGACTTCATTCAAAACCATTAAGTTAGACAATATCGCGAAGAAATAACACATATACAGGATACAAAACTAGAATTAAAAAAATATATATTCAAAAAGTCAAAAGTAGTACAAAGCCACACTACATTAGTAGATATAACATCATACAATAATGTCAATATTTTTTCTTGACCTATTTATACATAAAGTATTTAACAATTAACAATTAGCCAAAAACCAAGCCCTTAACATGCTTGAATGTTTAGAGCACAAAACCCATCAAGCACATGAATTTAAGACTTAACAAGCTAGGTGAACATTATCTATAATCATGCTGACATTCCTAATGGTTAGTTTTCTTCAAAATCCAAAAATCAAGGGGTCCACAGAAGTACAACAATTACAACATACAGCAGGACAGATTATATACAAGTGGTCATTTATAATTTTTGAGCACATAAGTCGTAATGAACAAATAAATCTATTTTTTAAAGATTGCTTTTTAATAAAATATATGTCATTACGTAGCAGAGGATGTACCATGGCGGCAGCAGTGGGATGAGATTCTGAAAATTATAACTCATTTTGCCAATCTGATTTATTTTCAAATATTATCACTGCATAAGGAAGTCCCCATCTGAATAAATCACAATCACTTTCGAGTGATAAATTCTTCAAGCAAAAAGATTTTCCACTCAATTTTGTGAGAACCGACAATACAAACGATCATTATTGCACCTTCACAAGTAAGACACAAACATCCATGCACAAATAAGGGATCATTTCCACTGAATCTATCAGTCTACTGAGATTGATCTGACTCCATGTGGACTCTTCCTGTATCCCATCACTTTCCCAGATTAATACACCTCTTTGTGTTGAGTAGACTACAGAAAAGCTGATGCTTATACAAGAATGTTGGAAACAGGAGGAGGCATATTAATCTGACTGCATTCAGCATGAGTCCCCACAGGGTTGAATCAATCTATGTTGAATGATACTTTCAGCGGGAATGAGCCCTTAGTCATTTCAAGTTATCCACCCTGTAGCTAAAACCCTGTACATTTTTGATATAGACATCGAGCAAAGAGTTACACATACACTATCACAGGCTCAAAATAGACACACATATTGTTGGATTTTAAATGAGATAAAGCCATGATCAAATGGGTAAGTTTACATATATTTTACTACATCTCATATGCAAGCAAGCCAAGCCAGGTGTGCATTCAGACAGCACAATAACATGAATATATAATAGGAAAAATATATATTATATCATACATACGAGGACATATAGCTTATCATTTTTGGTTCCAATTCGTTGAGAAATCTGCAAAGGAGTGTCAGAGAGAAAAGAAAATATTGAGAATAAAAAACAGAAAAGATTCATATTAAAAGAAAAAAGATTAAAGAGTATATCAAAGTCAAGTATGTAGGAAGGCAAGAGCCTCTGAAACATAGAACTTACAATACTATTTATTATAGACATCTTTGAGTTGAGAGACATCTAATTCCTAAATGTCAGTATGTTGGTTTCATATTGCTGTTTGTGAAAAAGTGTACTAAGTTCCAGACTGCATTACATCATGCAGCATTTAAATTGTGCTTGCTGTGACAGAAGAGAGTGCTAAGTGGTAAAAATGTGGATGATTGTGTTATAAGCATACAAGGCACATTTGATCCTTATATAGCAAAATAAATAAATAAATAATTTTCCTGGAAATTTCAATTATATTCAATAGAATATATCTTGCTAAGGAAAAAGTATTGACATTTCCAGGAAAAACAGTTTATTTACTACTTTATAAAGATCTAATGTTTATAGTGTGCTTGTAAGAAAAAAATTCCTTAATATCTAACAGTATTATCAGCAGTGTACATATGTTAGCTGTGTGATTGTTACTGAAACAAAAACGTATTGTGCTGTTATGTATTATGACATGATACAAGACGTGTTCTGACCTGTTTCAACTTAAATCCAAAACACTCTCAATGACATCACTAAGCAACAGCTAATCAACAGACCCCAGTTATAACCACAAAAACCCTCTACAATTCTCAATTTTACACTTCATATTCTAATCAATACAGTTTCTTCTCATGTCTGTTAGTTTAATAAGTTAGAACAGTTAAGAACACACCTCTATTTTGTTATAAAGATTATAATAGTTAACTCACTTCTCACTGACATCCCGCACAGCCTTGATGTTTGAAAACAGCACGTGTCTGTCGCGCCGTTCAAGCACGCACTTCATGGAATGCTCTGCGTTGAAGGCTTCTGCGTTCATGAAGTGCTCCACCAAGAGGTCAAGACTTTTCAGGTACGAAGCCTCTGATGTGATCACTTCGAAAATTGCCTGAAACATTGGATGGCCATAAAACTCTTTCTACGAGACATATATTTTTTAAAATAATAATTTCAAATTCAACAGCAAATTGATTTTAGATGACTAAGAAAGAATTAAAAATGGCACAATAACAGAAGTTAAATTAAAATGATTTGAACTTCTACATTCCTACCAAAATACATACCTCTTGCAATTTTCGCTCTGTAGAAGACATTCGCTCAAGGACCCCACTGTTTTTAACCTGGGAATATAATTTTATTTCATAATAATAAAAATAATAATAATAATAATAATAATAATAATAATAGTCTGCCATACAAACATGAAATTATATTTTATATATTAGTAGTATTAGATATTAGGATCTGATAAGGAGTAAATTCAAATTGTTTTTTTATGCATTGGATTTAGTGTAACAATGTATTAGGTGTGACAATGTGTTTTATGTGACATTGTATTGGGAAGTGACACAGCAACAGATGTGACACCTACCTCGGGCATCTCGCACCAAAGTGTTCTAGTTCCTGTTGGTGTCTTTGCATACAACTTCGACGTGTGTTGACTGCTTTCAGAAGCCTGAGATTTCCTTACATCCTCCGCCTGATCGTAGCTGTATGCATCCTCGGAGTGTGATGAATTGTGGGATAGGGGCCCAATCTCTGTGTCATCGTAGAGGTCGTTATCACTGGACTCTTCGTCACTGTCTTCTTCAGCTTGAAAAGGGAGGAACATATGTTTCGTTCTTATACATATTTCAATATCATAAACAGTGCGTCCAAAGACTATTGCAATCACTCTTTGACTTCTAATTACTTAATATTTTTTTTTTTTTTTTTGATTGCCAAGACTAATGACTTAAATCAAAGAAAATAACAGTATTTCAGAATAATAACAAAAGGACATGGCATTAAGGTAACTTTCAAGCAAATATTTTAAAATATGTATATATAACATACATTTGTAATTGGCATTCAAAGAGCAAGTACGTTTTTGGCAGAAAATTTATGTATATTGTCTTTCAAATCTGCGTACTTGAAATCTCCATTTTCTGTCCAAAAATAATACCAGCAGCCATGATATGCTCTTTAAGTTATATATTAAAATAAAGTTGAATAGTGGCACACTTGTTATTACCATGTGTTGGCATTGTCATTTTCCTGTCCAAAGTGTTACGCTTAATAAAATCTTGATTGTACATTTGGTACAGAGGCTCTGAGCTGAACCGAGAACTTGCTCGGCTGCGAGACAGAGGACAAGGTTCTGGGTCTGATTCCTGAAATAGGTCAAAAATACTTAGAAATGCAGAGACGGGTACATAATTATATAGACAAATATCAATCATATTCAGTTTTAAATTGCAATTTACATTACTTCACTCAGTCTGCCAAAGACACAGTTATTAAAAAAAAAAAATTTAGGGAGGAGAGGGAGGTCAACTCCAACTACTTCAGAAAAAAAAAAAAAAAAAAAACTCAGTCAGGTATATATACCTTGGTGATAAAAGGAAAAAATTCACAAAAAAACTTCCTGGATAATATAGAAATTTGCTATCTTAACCTGTTAAACTGGTTATCTGCCTTTATATATCTGACAACTTTAACTCACCAGAGTAAGGTAGCTAGCACTGCCTGTCTCACTGATCCTCCGTTCATCGTCAAACTCCTGGAGCCTCTTGGGAACACTGGCCAGGTCGTCCTCGGTGATATAGCTGGCCGAAGATGTGGTGGACAGATCTGAGCCATGTTTGGTCAGCTTGGGCCTCGAACTGTTAATTTACAATTTATTTCCATGTTTTAATTAGAGAGTGACAGAGTTTGATATATCAGTTAGCCAAAGGTGACAGGGTTTGAAACGTGATTGTGTGGTGCTTTAGATGTGACAGTGAGCTTGCTTTGGCAATACCAATACTAAAGATTTTAATGTAAAATTCTTCCCGGAGACAATTTTAATAACTTAAAAACATGGTGACATATGCATACTAAGACGGCAATTTTGTTAGGTCAGTTCTGAAGATATTTGACTATTTTAAATTATTTTTGTTTACTAATAAAACTGTTGCTATGTTGTAGTAGTTGCAGATATTTGAGTAACTTTACATGACTGCACAAGACTGCACATTTTAAATACGCATCAGTTCCACATATTTAATGATCACACTGGATTCTGTACCTTGGTCTCGTGTTCTCCTTTTTCACATATCTGCCTCTTGAGTCAGCATCTCTGGACTTGTCTTCTTTGTTTTCTGCAATGATTAAGTTCACTAATGTCATCAGGTCAAGGTCATGTAAAGGTCAAGGCCATCAACACTTTGAAACTAACCATATTCAGACTTGAAGACCCAGAAGTGTTAAGATAGTCTTCTAATAATTGTTAGGTATTTCACAGTTACAGGCGTATATTATATATATTTAGGCTAGCATGCTGTTATTTTCATTGATAGGAATATAGCCCATGTGTATAAATTGTAAAGACCACCGATGCCACTTTGTGAATTGACAGACAAGCATGGTTACAAACAAATAAGCTACTGTTACACAGATAGGCTTCAGCAGATAAGTAAATCTAAAACTGAAAAGTCAGTGCACAAAAATAGATAAATAAATCATAAGAAAATGAATAAAGAATTAAACATGTAACTCAAGTCTATGCCCCAATACATACGAATAAGTACAATATGATGTACTACTTTATGCTTGTTATAATTATGTAACATAGTAGGCCATTCTCGCTAAATCAATGTTAGCAAGCATTTAACTAACCCAAAGGACTGCTACGAGCAGCAGGGAAGGAAAAACGCGCCATTTCATCTTTGGATATCAAAGCAGCTTTATGCCGCATGCGCACTGCACCTGGCGCAGGCAGAGTCACCAGCTCGTACCCATCGCGATCTACTCCCGCAAGTGAGCTATCACCACCACCAGCTTCAAAATTGTTAGCTTCTGAAATATATTGCAGAACAAGCATGCATCAGTAAAGCCCCATTCAAAACAGTGGACTAACTAGTCTGAGGGTCAAACATGGCTGACCTACTCGAATACTTCACCATGGGGAATCTATTGTCTATTAGTGGATAAGACGACAAGCTTTTTAGTGGGTTGCCATATTTGACCAGCAGACTAGTTAGTCCACTGTTCTGAATGTGGCCTAAGTCATGTGACTGGGTAATGTGGCAAGTGCAATTTTGTACCTAGTCTTGTTACCATCCATATTGTAAGAATTACAGCAAATACTTTTGCTTCACTTTGTTAAATATACATTTTTGGTAATATTTTAAACAAACTGACAATTTATAATCTAACAAATAAAACAAATGGTATGTGAACATATACATAACTGTAAGTATACAAAATCACCATTAATAATTCAGCTATTTATTTTGACAGCATAAAGTAAAGTTTTGTGCATTGTTAATGGTCAGAATACTGAATTAGCAAGAAATAAAAACAGAGGATGTTAAATACTTCAGTCACAATTACACACAAAGGACTCGGAAATGACACACAAAGGAAAAAAAATTGTGCTTTGTGAAACCCATCCACAAACTCTGACAAGAAAACACACTTTAAAGGTGTAATTTGGTGAGTTGACCTAAATATAACCATTATTATACCTTAAAGTCTGTTTCCAGTGGGCCTGTGCCTGTCCAACTTAGAATTAACTTTCTCAAAAAGGCCAGTGATCGAGTAGCACTGTCCCGCTATAAAAATCAATTAGATAAGCCAACCTATCTTCACTGGAAACTGATTTTAACATGCAACCTCCAAATGAATAATACCCAATGATCCTGGTCTCAACTTTGCTTTTTCCCCTCAATCAAGCATCAAACTGGTAGTACATATTTGGTACTATAAATTACATTAAAAGTGAAAGAATGTTCACAACTTGTGCAATAACACTGGGCATCTTGTTAATTCAAATTACTTACCCATAGCTGGTTCTTCAAATGACAGGATAAATTGCACTGCTTATATTTTTGTTTACAAGAGATGTATTTTAATACCCTTCAATGTGTATCATGCTTTCATGCATGAAAGCTCGTTTACGGGTAAATGTGGGCACAGCTAAACATCTTGTGAGTGAAATATAAGTGCCATTAGCCCATTTTTTGAAGTGCCAGTTTTGGGTTAAGTCGGTAATACTTAGTTACATGGTTCACCCACTGTATGTGGTACAAAAAGTAATTATCTTTGGTACACTGCGATAATCACACTCTTTCATATTGCATACAGCGGGTTACTCATTTTTTAACTACTAGTAGTTCATATCCTATAGTTAGGGTTTCAAACAACAGAGTAATTGCACTTGTGGTTCACTAACACCCTCGTCTGAATTTTAATATGCTTCACTACACTGCAAGCAAATACAAATGCAATCATCTTATTGTTTGAAGCGCCAGCCATGGGATAAGTCAGTTTAAACTACTCATAGTCCACTCTATGCGACATACAAGAGCAAATTATATCTTGGCAGCATCTCAATATATTTACACTCTTATACAGGGGCGCCCCCAAACATATTTTCTGACAGTCTTCCAAAATATCTTTGTTGATTCATCCTTCGTTTTTGACCGTCTTCCGACAGAAAAAATTAGATACCCATCAATGTAAACTTGAAAATCTGACCTTCTTCCGGAAGACCCAGAAGACGGCCTAAATCCGCCCCTGCTTATATGTTGCATACAGTGGATGACTCTTGTTGTTACTAGTACATAAATACACAGTAAGCACACAAACACATCACACAGTATGTAGACATGAATACAAGATACTTCTAGGGGATATATGGATAAATTACCCTCGTTTTGGTCTGATCTTGGGGGCTTTGGAGGCCCTGGCATTGGAGAAAGTAATTTATAAAATATGTAATTAACGGCCTTTATGATGTTATTACCTTATAATGTACATAAAAGCTGTAGAATGGAGATAATTGGTCGTATGGCTTGGATCTATACTCAGCAGCTTTAAGATGTAATTGGTTTTGGTTTGAGGGGTTCCATGCATTTATTTATCTTTTAATTTTGACCACACTTATGAGAGAGAGAGAGAGAGAGAGAGAGAGAGAGAGAGAGAGAGAAAGTTTGTGTGCATGTGTCACTTACCACTCCTGGGTAAAGGAGGTGGAGGGCGAGTGTCGTACTGTGTGGCTATATCCTCAGCAGACCTTGCTTTGCCTTGCTCCCCGATATGTGAGGCTTTCAGGTGACTGGAATCTACATCAAACGACTGGGCACGGCTATTTCTAAGATGTGAACAATAATAAACACTGACAATTATTTGAAGCCATATTACACAAAAATGCCTAATATGTGCTCTATAAAATAATCAACTTTAAAATAAAGCATGTTTTTTGAAAGACAGTGAAAGAACAAAAGAAACAAAGGTTGAGGAAAACCCCTTTACATTAAATGAAAAACACAATATCAGAACAATATAATTTAATGTTCAAATAATCAAGCTATATCATAACAACCCTATCATACTGTTAAAATACTGACCTAGTTTCTTGGTTATTAAGATGACCATGCACTGTTGCCATGGTAACCCCTCTGGGTTTGGTGAGTCGAGGAGGTACAGGGGGACTCCCTGTAATATCTGGGATGTCCTTTGAGTCACAATTTCCAGAAATATCACTAGAAGCAGATCCTGCAGTGAAATCTTGGAATGTGTTGTATTGATCCGTATCAGAATCTGAGCGTGGTTTGCCTCTAGACGCAGGAATTGGTTTAGGTTTTTCCACTCTTCGAGGTATGGGAGGCGATATGGGGCCTTTATGTGGTACGATTATCATGGGACTATTTTGTTCAGGTGGCACCACTTCATGTGACTCCTCCCAACTGTCAAGACAAGCCACACTGTGACTATGTTCGAGGTGTTTGTTGTTCTGTTTGCCCATACCAATGCTATAGTCATCAGAGCTGATTTTCAAATCTTTCCTTAAATGTTTTGTAGCAATTGTAAAATGTGATGCTGCTTTATTAATTTTACTCTTGAATTTTGACATAAGTTTTGGAGACACCTTAGCAGTCTCTTTTCTGGTTGGCAACAGTACAATTTCCTCTGAAATGCGACTCTCAGAGGTTTCGGAGCGTCCATCGTAACTTGTCAGTTTTTTAAATCCTGTGAGTTCTACAGGACCATCCTCCTCATCTATCTCTTCATATCCATCATCTGATGCCGACTCCCACTCCTCCTCACCTTGGGGTATCTAAAAACAATGCATGGAGTATGTTAGGTGGGCATCTAAAAACAAGGAATGGGGTATGTTAAGTGGACTAATTATTATACCGGTCATCTGAAGCTTAATTTTACTTTGTCTGCCAGGGATATCTTATATTAAAAGAAGGCATGGCAGTGAGTTAGCAGCATCAAACAGCTATTATCAGAAGTTTGCTTTCTCATCAACTGCTAGACCCACCTTAAAGAATTAATGTGAAGAGTAATCATGTGAAAGTTCACTGACCAGTCAAATTGTATTTTAGTAAGGACAATGCTTAAATATAACAATTCCTATGAACAATCCATGTACTTATGATTTCATTATCATACAAGTCCCTCCCAATGGCAGCCGAAGATACAGAGAGACATTTCTCAAAAATTAAAAAGCAACCACCTCCTCCTTTCCATAAATTTAGCTAATTTTTTAAAACTTTCTTTACATATGAAGAGTAGAAGTACCTTAAAATGGAGGCTCTTCCCTTCCAAACATGTGATACGGCTAGTACTTACAATTTCGTTATCATCATAAATGTCCTCGACAACCACAGTCTCGCTCTGTGCATGTTTCAGTGGGTCCGAGAAATAACGCTGTCGGGGCAGAGACTTTCTACGACACTCTCTGGTTTTTGTACTCTGGCGATTTAATGAGGCTCGCTTTCTGTAAAATATAAGTACGAGCATTTACACATGCTTGTCTCTGAAGATCCAAAAGTGAGACTAGTGTTTTTATCACTTAAGATAAAAAATTGTAACAGTTATATATCATTAACTTAATTATCCTGAAATAAAAGAAATAATCTTATCATCAATTTTACCTAATTCAAAATGGGGACAATCAGGAATTAATTGCAGCTTGATTGCAATTCCCCAAGATAGTGCTTCATACATTATTTCAATTAAAGAATTTTGATAAAAGAAATGGTTACTACTAAAATACAAAATATCATTGTTGCTACAAAAATCATTTGCATATAGACTAGTATTACTTTTCCATTACCTGACTGGCACTAACACACTGAGCAATTCAAATTAAACATTATCTTTAAGCACTTTAATTTGACTGTATCATTGAAGCTGAGAATACAAAATAAAGGCCTGGAGCAATTTTTTTATTATAGCTACATTATAAGGTGTGCCCTGATATTACGAGCCAGAGTTATTTATAACTCATGAGATAATAACATTTAATTCACTATTATAATTACTCTTCCAACAATGAAGTATTAATTTAACTGATGGTTCTTCAAATGCCTCTTTTTCAATACAGTAACTATTTCTAACAGAAGTATGCACATTTCATCAATTTAACAGATCAGATAAATTCACTTTTCCTACTGCTCAGGGTAGGGCATATACTTGCATGTCAGCCAAAATATGTTTAATTTAATGCATAAATCTACATATGTACAAATTCCACATCTAAATGTATTTCACACATCCCTTGCCTTCAGCAGTTTTTCTTAAAAACTGTTTTGAATTATTATATACATAGCCTATAATAAGGACAAATGTCTGCACGAGAGGTGTTTTGGTATCAGTCGGTGACATGACAGTTTATTCTACTGTAACAGATATATTTAAGATGTGTTCACAGCGGAATCAACTTAAGGTGTGTTCACAGCGGAATCAACTTAAGGTGTGTTCACAATGAATCTATCATACTAGGAAATTCAAACTAAATCTGCAGGGACACTTGCTGAATGCAATCAGAATAACAGACATCTTACTCTGATTGCAATCAGCAAGAGTCCCCATGACTTTAATATAAGTCCATTTACTGGCAGAAGAGTGCACCTCGAAACACAACATTCAGAGTTAAACCATCACAAGATGACTGGAAATGTGGACTATGACCTCAACATTATAGGTGTTAAAGTATTAAGTGTGAGCTGAGTGCACTCTGAGTGCCACCCTTTAGTGGTGTCTCAGCCTGATGACAACATCACTCAGAAATGTGTAATAGTCTGATAAGGTCAAGAAGGAACGGTTTCA